TGGGTCTGTTTAAGAGATAAGAACAGCAGCTAACGGTTTGATTTAGGCATCCGTGGTTATTGATGGAAAAAGCATTTATTTGCCAATGGAGAAATTTTGCTTAATGTAACAGCAGGAGGAAGGGAGGAGGCGAAGGGAGTCTGCGCAGGAGCGGGGGGGGGGGGGGGGGGGGGGGCTGCAGGGGCGTGGTAACTGGGTTTCCAGCCCTGTCCTCTTGAGATTTTCAAAACAGTGGTGTGGAAGTGGGCGAATGAGCATGTTAATGCCTAGAAGGTTCATGGTGGGGGCGGGGGGGGTGTTGCTCCTGGTCATTTTATTTATTCATTCAACAAGCAGTTGAGCCCACCCTGTGTTCAGAGGCTGTGCTGGGCATCATGGATGAAGCCGATGTTGAGAGAGACGGGTTGCTGCCCTCATGGAGCGTGCATTCTGGTCGGGGGCAGGGAGGGAGGCGGGAGGTAAAGAAAATCAAGGTGTCAAATCACGGACGACGCTGGGAAGCTCTGAGAGAAATAACTTGAGCACCCGGTTTTGATGTGGTCCGGGAACGTCTCCCTGGGTGAGGAGCAGCAGAGGCCGGCGTGCCGGAGGAGCCTGGGGGGCTCGGTCTGATGCGCCTGCAGCCCCCAGCCTGCGGGGCCCTGGCCCGGCGGGAGCCGAGGGATCCCCGAGGCAGAACTTTCTGGCTGTGGACTGGCCTCCAGACTTTTCCTCAGGCTGCAGAGCTGGGGACAGGGTGGCACGGAGGCTGGGGGCCTGCGCTGTGACGTCAGATGGCTGTGGGGCCTCCAGTCTCAGCCCTGCCCTTTGCAAGCCCATGACCTCAGACAGATGCGTCTTTCCACGCACAAGCGAGGGTGGTTTCCGGGATAGAACTTTCCAGAAGGACTCATGAGGACCTGCCACCAGTGGCTGCCTCTGGAGAGGGCTGGGTGGGAGGGGACTTTCTTCTCCATGGCCTCTTGTAGCCTCTCAAGTTATGCCCCAGTCGTGTCATTTCGTCAGTTGTCCACACCATGTGCGATGCTCTGTGACGTACACGGGGTGGACCTGCATTCGGGACAAGGCTGGTGTTACCTCCCCCATTTCATAGGTGAGGCTCAGAGGAGGCGTTCGCTTGCCCACAATCACACAGCCGGACCTGGCGGTCTCCCGCCCCTTCTCAGGCGCTGACCCCTCTCTCTTCCACTCGCTTGTCTCCTTTGTGGCTGTTGGTGGAGGTCGTGGATTTGTGCAACTGGGAGCAGCTGGGTTTTCCCGGCCCGAGTAGTGATTTCTCATTCCCCAGTGCTCTGCTCTGAGAACCATCGATTGGGCGGCTTTATTTATTAGCTTAATCTTTGCACATCCCTCAGCGACGCTGTTCCGGCACCTGCCTCGTCGGGGGCAGAGGGCTGCACGCACACCTGTGTGCGTGTGCTCGAGCCTGGAAGTGCCCTGTGGCTGTCAGCCTGCGTGGGCTGACCCTCCCTTCCCAGCTCTCCTGGGTGACACGCTGGCTCTCACCAGCGTCTTAATCCAGGCCTGGCACACGGTGATTGTGCACTGAGGGATCTCAGGGGAAAGAACCACCTGATCTAGGGTCAGAAGTCCCAGGTTCTGGTCCCAGTACCTCCACTCACTTGCTGTGTGATCTTGAGCAAGTCACTTCTGCTCTCTGGGCCTCAGTTCCTCACCTGTAAAATGGGAGTGATGATAATATCGGGCCTTCTCCATGTTGCTGTGAGCAGGCTGGGAACACTTCTACTTCGGGGCCTTTGCACTTGCTGTTCCTGCTTTTCTCTCATGTCAGCATAGCCTGCTCCTTCATGTTGTCTGGACCTTACTCAAAAGTTGCTTTCTCAGGGAAGCCTCGTCTGGCCATCCTAACTAAAATTTCACAGCGTGCTTGTACACACACACACACATGCCTGCATGCAAACCATTCTTCCCGCTATATATTTTCCTTCCTTAGCACTTAATATGATTGATCCTGTTATTATATCTTTTAACCATTGATCTCATTTGCTGGCTTCTCCCATTAAAGTGGCAGCTCCAGGACAGCAGAGATTTTTTCTGTTTGGCTCCCTGCTGTCTTCCTCGCACCCAAAATGGGGCTTGGCCTAGAATAAGTGCTTGGAAGGTGTCTGTGGAAGGAAAGAATGAAATAAATCATCAGATGACACCTAGAACGGTGCCTGCCACATAGGACACACTCAACAAACGTGAGTTATTATTACTGCTAATGTCTCTGCTGTTGAGATTGTCTGAGCCTCAGTTTCCTCCCCTATAAATGGAGGGGCTGTTGGTGACAACCCTGCTAGAGCTGTTGTGAAGGTTCAGTGACGTGGATGTCAGGTTCTTGGCACAGCTCCTGACACGGAAATTCTTCAGTAAATAGCGGCTTTTATAGTTATAAGTACAGAATGAACGATAAAGCTCCGCCAGGGACGAGAGTGTTTCTGGGAAGTGGAGTTAGTGTCTGGGACCCAGGGCCCAGCCCTCACCACCCCATCACCGGTCCTGATTAGCTACTGCCGTGGTGGGGGCGCGAGCTTCTGATTTCCTTCAACTGTCGTTTACCCGGAGTGTCCAGCCGAGGTTTGCAGACGCCCCCTGGGATTCTCGCTTTCTCAGGGGTGTCTTGGGGTCTTTCAAAGTTCCTTTGATTTTGTTTTCGTTTTCTTTTGAGTATGGGAAGTTCTCTTTCTTTTTTTTTAAGAAGGAAAAGATCGGTTGATATTTATTGTCCCTGGGAAGCAGCCTCAGCACATTGCGATGTGAAGAAAAGCCAGTGCTGAGCGCACGTGGTGTGTGGTTTCTGTAAATCACAAAAGTGGAGCCTCTCCAGCCAGGGGCTGCGGTCGTGCACGGCCCAGGCCTGGGGCCCGGGCTTCACCGCTCTAGTAGGGGGAACCCAGCAGGACTCCCAACTGCAAGCAACAGAACCCAGCTCGGCTTCCCGCCAAGACTCCGCCCCGGGGATGCTGTGCTGGCCGCCAGGAGAGCACGGCCAGGGGAGCACCGCAGATGTTCACGACATTGGGAGGGAGGCGGACCTGCTGGGACAGGGACCCCCAAATGGAAATAAAGGATGGTCACTAGACGCGATGGGAACTGGTACTGGGGTCACGGTTGTCCCCGTGTTGCCTGAGGCAGACGCAAAAGCAGACCGGCCGCCGCTGTCACCACTCTCACCGCTGTCCCCATTCCCCTGGGGCTCTCCAGTGACGTCTGGGGAGCTTCCACCCGCTGCTGATGGATCCGTGTCCTGGGGGCCTCTGTCCCAAACCACAAGACCCCTTTGCCTGCGAGCGGGGCCAGCGGAGCTGGACGCAGCCCTCGGCAGCCCCCTCAGCTCAGGGTTGGGCAGAAGCACCCCAGCTCCGGTGGGCAGAAGGGTTCCGGGGTCTCTCGGCTGCTGGAGGCTGGAGGCCGTTTTGTGCTTGGCTTGTTTAAGGAGGTCTGTAGGTCCCCAACCTCGAGAATGTGTGGCTCTGTCCTTTGGAATCAAGCCCCCGCAGAAGAGCAGGTGTCCCCGGGAAGACTGGGGGTGTCCGTGGGGACCGCAGGGAGCTTGATGGCGTCTCGTGTCTCTGCTCACGTCATGGACAGGGCAGTCCGGGCCTCTGCGTCGAGCTGAGATGAAGGGGAGATGAGAGGAGGGGAAACGTGGGCATCATGGCGCGCCGTGGGTGAGACTGAAGTCCAGACACAGGGCTGACGGCCTGAGCGCGTTCGCGTTTGGGGAGTTTTCTGGATTTGGAGCTTCAGTGGGAAGAGGCGCGAATTAGTTCAATTAGTTCAGCATCTCTTGAACACCTACTGTGTGCCAAGTGCTGTGCTGGGCGCTTTGTGGGGAGAGATGGTGAGACCAAGCTTCCCAGAAGGTCTGAGGGAGCCCACGGACGGCAGTGACCCGAGTGGATGGGTGGCAGGCGGCCCGGGGAGGTTGGAGCCCAGGTCGCGGGCAGAGGGGAGACAGTGGTTCCATGAGCTGGAGCCTGGGGGAGAGGACGGGCATTTGATACAAGCCTTGAAAGTGGGAAGGCTTGACAGACTGACTGATGGGGCAGAGTACAGCGTGGGCCACACCTGCAGGCGCCGAGCAGGCCAGCCTGGCTCGTGCGTGGAAGGGAGACGTGGGGTCGGGCTGGAGAAGGCAGGATCCTGAATGTCATGCAGAAGGGCTACCGGATAGCCTGGTGGGCCATAGGGAGCCACAGAAGGCGCTGGAGGAGGAGAGTGAGAGGTTTGGGACTGTGCTTAAAAGATTCTTTTGTCACAAGGTTTCTCGACCTTCACACTGTTGACGTTTTGGGCCGTTTGGTTGTCGGGCCATCCTGTGCGTGGTAGGCTGTGAGCAGCATCCGTGGTCTCTGCCCACCGATGCCAGCTGCCTCTCCTCCAAGTGTGACCCCCGAAAGGTCTCCAGAGAGTGCCGACCGTCCTCTGGGGACCACGGGCCCCCCTGGTGAGAAGCCCTGTTGTCATGAGTGGGAGCAGAGAGGCCCGTCGGGGAGCAGCCCCGAAACGCGCGAGCACGGGCGGGAGCGGGGCGCGTGGCCTTTGAGAACAGGGACCAGAGGCCCGGGGCAGAAGGTCGAGGAGACTGGGGAGAGAGATGCTGCAGCTTCCGGGGCCGAGTCCAAGGCCCAGGCCTGTTGGGTCCAGGGGGCCGCAGCAGATGAGGAAGAGAAACTCGGGGGGGAGGGGGCTGGGGGACCCCAGAGTCCGTACGTCCTGGGGTATCTCCAGGGCTTGACACGAAGTGGGTTCTTGGAAGGGGGAGGGCGGTGGTGTTGAATGAATGAATGAGCCAGATGGGAGGCCCTTTGCAAAAAGGCCCGAGCTCGGGGGGAGCTGAGCGAAGACGTGCTGGTGGTGAGTGCCTACTGTGTGCACGCAGGTGGGCCTCTGACCTCACGGGGAGTGTAGCCTGGGGCAGAGGCGCTGAGCCAGCGGCCGCAGACACTGTGGGGTTGCAGAGGGCGCTCGGGCCGAGGAAGGGCAGCCCCGGGAGGCCGTGTGGTGGGAGGCGAGGGTGGTCAGGACTGCCGTCGACAGGGCGACCCACTTTGGGCTCCGAGAATCTGCTCATTCAAGGTCGCTTTGGTGGGGGCAGGGCGACAGCCGCCCCTCGGCCCAGGGGAGCAGTGAGGGCAGACCAGACAACAGGGCGATTTCCTCCGGTACTGGGGTGGGGGTAATCAGGGACGGCTTCTATGAGGAGGCGCCGTTTGAGCTGAGACTGGAAGGCCGAGTGGAAGTTTTCAGGGGGCAGCGCGAGGGAACAGCATATGCAAAGGCCTTGGGGCTGTGACAGAGACCGGGGTTTATGGGGCAGAGGGCCTTGACTCAAGTTCTTCAACCTTACAGACAAATATGATCTCCCCCGGCCTCCATCAGTGAGGACCTGATCAGTGGGGCGGAGCGGTTGGTGGCGTCCGGGGTGGTGACGTGCTCCCGTCCCCCCATCCCTGCTCAGTCTCTGCTCCAGGGCAGCAGGGACGGCCACTGAGGCCCCGCCCGCCCAGAGCGGGCACCTGGGGATATTTTGAGCCTACGATTCTTAGTCCCTTCCACGCACCGCTGGAGAGAGCAGACTTCACTTTTCCTTTTTTTTTTTTTTTTTCAAGGCCAATTAAAAAAAGATTTTTTTCAGAGCAGGCCATGGGCTATTACGGAAACAGTAAACAGGAGTCAGCGCCCGGGCGTAAGTGGTCGGTTTTAATTAGAACATTAAAGTATTTTAACGCTTACACTTTATATTTTTGCGAACTTGATTATATAGCATTTTAAATACCTGCGAACGTTTTAAGGACTCTCGGCGATGAGTTATTTGCAGTTTCACAGGAAACTTCTATTTTAAAAGCCGAACGGTCTGCGCGCGGCCGCGAGGGCCTGGCAGCCGCATCTACACTGTATAATGAGAGGCCGCATGGGGGGTGGCCTGGCAGGCAGCCTGCTGGGCCGCGGCACCGGGCCCCCAGCCGCGCCTTCTGGAGCGGCTCCTGCCTGGTGCACGGGTCTGGGGGACCCCGGGGGCCAGCTGGGGTCCCCACACCACCCCCGGGCCGGAGGATGGTCCCCGGAGTGTGTCTCCAGGGCGTCCCTTGGTCTCCCCCTGTTGCTGCCCCTTGGCTGACCGTGGAGGCTTCTTTGAGGGGCTCCGGCCTCAGCTTGCGCCCCTCCAGGCTTCCCCCACCCAGCACCCAAAGGGGCTTCTTAAAACACAAGGCAGGCTGGTCACTCTGTCGCTCAGAAACTCTCCAGCGTGAGGTCAAGGCCGACGCATCTCTGGGTCGCCGGCAGTGGGCCCTGCTGACCTGGCCTGGCGTCTCCGGCCCTCCTCGTGTCACACTGCCCAGCTGCACTGGCCTCCTCATCCTCCTTTGATGCTCTCGTGTTTACTGAGTGTCTGCTCTCTGCCAGCCCTTGTTCTGGACACTGAAAAGAGACAAAACCAGAGACTTTCTTAAATGCTTTTGGGTTTTGAACTATTCTAAGCTTTTGTTATGCCCCAGGACCTTTGCACTTACTGTTCCCTCTGCCCGAGATGCTCTTCCCCTGGCTGGTTCCTTCAGTTCCTGTCTCCCCTTGGAGAGACCTTCTCCGACCATTTTTGTTGAGGCACATTTTCCCCTTCGTTCTTACATCAGCACTGTTCGATTCTCCCCCCCCTCCCCCCCGCCCCAGCATTTGTCTCAATTTGTAACTGGGTGTTGGGTGGTTTATCATGTTGGGGTCTGTCTCCCCGGTAGAAGCATAAGCTCTGAGGAGTCGGCTCGCTTCCTGCTGTCTCCCCACCTTCCAGCAAGGGCTTTGCCCAGGGCCGATACTCAGGGCACTGTTGTCGAGGGAACAAGTGTTGATGGAAGGACCCTTTGTGCCCGCGTTGGTTTGGGATCAGAAATCAGGAACAGAAGCCGCTGCCAGAGAAGCCAGAGGCGCCTGCCTCGCGCCCAGCCTGGTGCCAGCACCTCGTTCCTGTCTTCTCCTTCACCTGCTAGCGGCACAGCGGCAAGTCAGGACCTCTCTGTTACTGGGCACGGTGACCGTCCCCCGGCCGCCAGCCCCTGGCAGCGAGCAAGAACGCGCTCTCTGCCCCTGCTGAGGACGTCGGTGGCACCGGCGGTTAAACGTCCCTCTCCTGTCACGGCTGCACCTTTGCTGTCCTGAGAGCGGAGGGCGTCAGCAGTTCAGGTCTTACAGTGAGGTTTGTTTCACGACGGGGAGAGTGCTCGGCCCAGCGGCGTCTGGGACATGTGGCTGGTACGCGGAGGAGGGAACCGTGATCACGGGGGGGCCGACCTGACTCGCCGTCTTCGTTGTGATGAGAGCTGAGGACAGACTGACCGAGGTGACCAGCACGTAGGTCTTTCACATTAATGGGGAAGCTGTCCATTTGCACCGGCAACGGCCCTGCCACGGCCTCTGATGAGGAGCGCGGTGCCCGCAGAGGAAGACGGCCAGCATGGCGGGGCGCGTGCAGGGCCCGAGGGGACGACGCCCCGTCTTAGGCCATGGGGTCACCCCTCAGTGCTGAGGGCCCGCCTCCTGGCCCCGCCTTTCCCAGCCGTGCGCCGTCTGGCGAGGTGCTCAGCCTCGTCTCCTCTTCTGTGAAATGGGCGCACGGTGCCTTCATCTCCGAGGGGTCTGTGGGTTATGGGGTGGAAGGTGCTGCCGTGCGCCCCCTCTTAGGAGATGCCCGACAGGTGACCACTTGTGAGCTGTTCCTCTCTGCTCCTCGAGCCGTGGGTGACACTGTGGGTGCGTCTGAAAGCCTGTGAAGGGGCCATCGTGGGCTTGTCCCAGCGCAGCAGGAGCTTCCTGCAGAAAACGCCCTGCATGGAAAGTCACCACGGAAAGTTCCGGCCCCTCCACCTGCCGCGTCATCTTGAGGTGATGCGGGTTTTACAGAAGGCCGCTCTTTCCCTTGAGAAAACGCTTAGCCCCGTCCCGGCCTGTGGCAGCGCCGCTGACTGCCTCCGTCGGGGGCCCTGGCCGCCCCCGGGGATGCCGCTGTGGGGTGCCCACCGCTCAGCCATGTGCTTCTCCGTAACCCCGCGGTTCTGCTCCGTCCTCGGCCAAGAGCAGCCCGTGCACGTAGCAGGTGCTCCCTGGACGTTTGTTGAGTGGATGAGACCCTGTGCCCGCAGGGGGTTGACACTGGAAGACCGGCTCCCACTGAGCTGGAAACTGAGGCTCACACGGAAACCTGCCCGCGAAGTTCGCAGTGCGGTGCTCGCCGCAGCCCCGGGGTGGGGGCGGCCCGGCTGCTGTGCCGCCCTCGGTGGTGACCGGCGGCGGTGCGTCCGTGCGGGGAGCCCTGCGCAGCCCCACGAGGGAGGGCCCTGCGGCTGCACCGGCGCCCGGGGTGGATCTGGAAGGAATCGTGCTCGACGAAAAAAGCCAGTCCCGAAAAAGAAGGCCTGCCGGGCGAGCCCATCCATACAGCGTCCTGGAGCGGACGAGACACGGAGCAGGTGAGGGACGCGGCGGGGCAGCTGCCGTTCGCAGCGTCCCTCGAGGTGGAGGGGTGACCGTGTCCGTGTCGCTGTCCCGGCTGGGATTTCGTGCCGCAGTTTCATCGGCTCTTACCTGGAGGAAGTGGACGGAAGGTACAGGAGACCTTCTGTATTCTTGGTTCCGATTGCAAATGAGTCTACAGTTATCGCGCAGTAAAAAATTCAATTTAGGGGCCGGCCCGGTGGCGCAGCGGTTAAGTGCGCACGTTCCGCTTCGGCAGCCCGGGGTTCGCCGGTTCGGATCCCGGGTGCGGACATGGCACTGCTTGGCAAGCCATGCTGTGGTCGGCGTCCCACATATAAAGTAGAGGAAGATGGGCACGGATGTTAGCTCAGGGCCAGTCTTCCTCAGCAAAGAGAGGAGGATCGGCAGTAGTTAGCTCAGTGCTGATCTTCCTCAAAAAAAACCCCCAAAACAAACAAACGAAAAGTTCAATTCAAAAAAGTGGAGAACTGAAAGCACCTCCTGAAATATTAGGGACACAGCGGACCGGCCCCCTGCCGTGTGATCCATTAACTCAGGTCTTCACAGCGGCTGCGGGCAGCAGATGGATGTGATGTCACCATTTTACAGGGAAGGAAACAGGCTCAGAGAGGTTTAGGAAGTTGTCTGAAGACACACAGCTGGCAGGTGGTGGAGGTGGGACTCCAGCCTGGCAGTGTCTGGCCCCAAACCCTGAGTTCTTTCCTCTAAACGTGTCGCTCTGAGTCTCCGCCGTTTGGATGCTGAGCAGAGCCAGGAAGCTCACCTCCCTCGTGCTGTCATGTGATGTCTGACCACGTGGCTGGGCACCGTGGTGACCTCTTAAGTGGCTGACCACTCTGCAGGGGAGAGGTGGCCTGAGCTTCCCGTCTGCCTGCTCCTGAGTGACCCGCTGACCGCAGGAGTCACCACCCGCTCCCCATGCGTTATGGTGGGTGTGCAGTGTTGGTGTTGTTCGACCCCTTTTACAGGTGGGGGGACTGAGGCACAGGACAGAGAAGGAGCGGGGGTTGTCACGGGTGGAGGTGTGGTCCTTTCTGGCTCTGGCGTCCTGGGGGTTGGTCACAGTCCCTTCGATTTGTCCTGCACGGCTGCCATTCTCAGCACCCCATCCACCCCGTGATGCGCTGGCGAGGGCACAAGCAGCACCGGGATCGAGTCCTGGTCTGCAGAGCGCCAGACCGGGGCCCGGCCACGTGGCCGCTCTTCTCCCAGCCTCGCTTCCTCATCGAGAAGTGGGGGGTAACGAGGGTTAAATAGGAAAACCGAGAACACGGCGTAGGGGACAAAACCGCTGGCAGAGTCTGAGGTCCACCTGGGCCCCGAGCTCTGCACAGAGGCTGCTGGACGAGCAGCGCCCCCTCCCTGAGTTATCTGCCCTCACGTGGCTCCTTGGGGCCTGCCGTCACCTGGGCCCGAGTTCTGCTCAGCTGCTGGTTTCCTGAGCAGGGTGGCACGTGCGCTAACTGGGGCTGCCAGGGGGCCTGGGAGCCTTCCTGCAGGAGGCAGCCCAGAGCTGACAGATGCCTCGGCTTTGCCAGGTGAGTGGGAAGAATAGGAGGGAAGGGCGTTCCAGAAAGGGGGAACATCAGGTGCAAAGGCTCAGAGGTCAGAGGGTACACGTGCTTGTGGGGAACTTTAACCAGGGTA